GAGAACTGCAGTATGCCCTTAGATTCGCATGAGGATAGGATCTGCCTAGCCAGGTCTAAGTGTGCTAACTGCTATGGGCCCTTCCCAGCAAGCCATGCCAACTGCCCAGCCAGACCGCTACTAGTTAATGGAAAACTTGTTATACCTACCTATAAGGAACTGCGAGGGATCCGGAAGGTTGGTGGCAAGGCCTCAGATGACCTCCTAGCTAGCCAGGCCTGCTCCCTAGGCAGCACACAGCAAGCAGAGGCCAGGCTGGGCACTACATCTAAGCGCCCTCGACCCCTCACACCTACACAAGACTCAATTGTTATTGCAGATACTGCTAGCATAGCTGGAAGCAGCAATAGTATGGATGAGGATGAGGCTGAAGACTCTGAAGCCCTCCCCCTTACCAACCGCCCTATCTGCCCGCTTCCAAGCAGTAGCAGAAGCCAGAGGGTAATACAGAAGCCTGACTACAACGTTATTAATGCCTATACCCACCTCGATCTCGACTCAGAGCCGTAGGCTCAAAATGGCTACCCCACGGGTACTACGGGTCGCCCAGTGTAACGTGGGGAAGATCAGCCCAGCTCATACAGCTCTCCTAGAGCTCTGCTGGGCAGATCAGATCGATATAGTACTGATCCAGGAGCCCTGGATAGGCTATAGAGATAAGATGCAAATCAACACACACCCAGGCTATAACTCTTACGTACCAGTTGACTTCTGGAACAGCAGGGACACAAGGCCTAGGGTTATGACCTACACACACAAAAGTCTAAGGTTACAAATACAGCAGCAAAGACCTACCCTATCAAGGGATATCCTATGGATCAAAGCGGGCGACATTACTATTGCAAACGTCTATAGACCACCAGGTGAACCCACAAACCACACAACAAATACCCTCCTAAGCTATCAACCGCCGGAGAGAGCCCTTATTGCTGGGGATCTCAATGCTCGCCACTCCTCCTGGGAACCTGGCTCCCAAAGCCGGAACCGAGGGGACGATATTGCAGAGTGGGCTGAAGGCTGTAATCTTAACTTTATTGGGGTAGCTGGGGCTCCAACCCATACCCATGGGCATATACTCGACCTCAGCTTCTCAAATATCCCCTTTACAGAGGCCTGCATCAGCCCACACCTACATCCAGGGGCTGATCACCAAGCTATTATAACGACCATACCTATAAGCAAAACCCAGGACTTGAGGTGTCAGACTAGCCACCCTGTGGTCTCAGACTCATCCCTACTCCGGCTAGCCGACCTAGTGAAAGTAGGGATCCTAGCCCTGCCTACCTTAGGGGATACACCTACCTCAGCAGAAATAGACTCCCTAGCTACCCAACTAGTCAGCCTCCTCTCTACAGCTATCCAGGCTGTAGGGAAGAGACGGACTAACCAGGGCAGGGGAGCCCCCTGGTGGACAGAGGAGTGCTCAGAGGCCCACCAAGCAGCTATTGAGGCTAGGCGTCAGCAAGCCCAAGAACCTGGGCTAATAATACCACCGCCCATCCTAGAGGAGCAGAAGGCCTTTCTGACCACAGTCAGGAAGGCAAAACGCGCCTATTGGGCTGCTAAGATTGAGGAGGCTGGGTCTAACCAGAACTTATATCAGATACTTAGCTGGCGTAAGTCTGGTCTAGCTGTTAAAGCCCCACCTCTATTGGTAGATGGACAGGCTTTTAACAACAGCTATGATAAAGCCCAAGCCTTACGGAAGGCCCTACTAGAGAGATTTGACGCTACAGACGACTTCCATGGGAACCCATTTGCTATTCCTATAGTTCCAAGGCGTCTAATACCCTGGCAGCAGATAGTCAACATTGAGGAAGTACGCCAGGCAACTCTCACAAAGGCTACAACCCCTGGGATTGATGGGATTACTACAAAGTTACTACAATCCATTTGGGGCCTGATAGGTGTTCCTATACAGCAGCTCTTTCAGGCCTGCGTTCAGATAGGCTACTTCCCTAGGACCTTCCGCAAAGCAGAGGTAGTTATGATCCAGAAGCCGGGAAAAGCAGACCTCTCAAAGGCTGGATCCTGGCGCCCAATAGCCCTCTTATCCTGCCTAGGCAAGGGCTTAGAGCGGCTGATAGCAAAGAGGATGGCATATCTCACCATTCTGGAAGGAGTTGCTAGCCCACAGCAGGTTGGGGCATTACCAGGGAGGGCTGCAGTCAACCTGACAACCTGTCTAACCCATGAGATCGAAAGAGCTCTAGACTCAGGGCTTACTGCAACTCTAGCGACAATGGATGTCAAGGGGGCGTTTGATTCTGTCCTACGAAATCGACTTACTATTAGGCTACGACAGCAGGGCTGGCCTAGTAGTCTGATTAGACTGATCTTCAACTTCACCTCTTGCCGCACAGCCCGGGTAAGGTTAGTAGAGGATACTACCACAGAGGACTTCCCTTTATCCTGCGGACTGCCGCAAGGCTCGCCACTATCACCTATCCTTTTTTCTGCTATATATAGCCGACATCCTAGCTGACGATCAGAAGCTACGGTTTAGCTATGCAGACGATATAGGCCTGCTGGCTACTGGCCCTTCCCTGGAGGGAAACACTGCAGCCCTTAGCCAGGAGATAACTCAGATCCTAGACTGGGGCACTGATAATAAGGTTACATTTGACCCGGCTAAATGTGAAGCAATCCACTTTAGCAGGAAACACAACCAGTCAAATAACCTACCAGATATACAGGCAAGGGACCTAACTATCAAGGCCTCAACTAAGCCTGTACGATGGCTAGGGGTCTGGTTCGATAGGAAACTCACCTTCCGGCACTATGTTGATACAAAGGTAGCGGCAGCAAAGAAGGTAGCCCAGTTCCTACAGCACCTATCAAACACAAAAGGAGGGCTCCCAGCAGCTGCAGCACGCCAAGCTGTTATTGCCTGTGTCCTTCCTACAGTCCTATACGGAGCTGAGACCTGGTATGCAGGCTTAAGTAAGCCAGCTAGGAACAGCAGCACCACTGCAGTTAGCAGCAGCACCACTAACCAGGTAACTACTGTCAGTACGAGGCAGAAGGGCCTGGTTAGGAGTGTTAGAAAGGTTATCACAGCAGCAGCAAGGGCTATCCTGCCTGTCTGGAGGACTACACCAACCAGCAGCCTCCTCCGAGATGCTGGCCTGCCTACAGCAAAAGTAGCCCTTGAGGCAGCACGCCTACGCTTTGCCACACGCCTACAGAAGGTTGACCAACACAACCCCTTAGTCCCTAGGCTTCCACAGCTAGGGCGGCAGGAAACAAGGCTTCAAAGAACAGCAGCCCTCCTACCTAAGTGCCCAAGGCCGATGCTCCTACAGCCACAGCACCTCTCAGGATCAAAAGACCCTACAGCTGGCCAGGATAAGGAGAAGGCAGCTAAAGCGTTTCAGAACTGGGTTAAGACTGTGCCAGATAACCATACGATTATCTACTCAGACGGCTCTAAAGCCACTAATGGGGCTACGGGATTCGGCTTTGTTATCTACCGCGGAAACAAACGGATAGCCCAAGGGTGCGGCCGTCTCAGCATTGCAGAAGTATTTGATGGCGAGGCAGAGGGGGCGAGGGCAGGGCTCCAAAGGGCCCTTCCTACCTCCCAAGGCCAGCCTATACATATCTGTATTGATAACACCAGTGTCATCCAGGGGATACGCGGCAACATCCCAGACTCCTCACAAGCTGCCTTCTTAGAGATCCAGGCAGCAGCCAGGATATATACTATACAAACCCACTGGTCCCCAGGGCACCAAGGGATAAAAGGAAACGAGGAGGCTGACAGCTTAGCTAAGGAGGGCACAACGCTGCCAGTCCCCAGAGGCCTACTGCCGACCCTATCAGGGATCAAGCGGCTTGCTCAAGAACGCAAACAACACCAGCATAGAAAATGGTGGAAGAAAGAGGCACCCCCCTGTTATACCCAGCTGGGGCTTAAGGCCACCCTTGGCTGCCCTCCTGAACTAGCTCTACTAAGAGCTACCCTTCATCATCTCCTAGCAGCACGATCAGGCCACGGAGACTTCGAACAGTATCATCAACGCTTTAACCACACAGAAGCACTGCTTTCCTGCTCCTGCGGGGAGGCTAAAGAGGCAGACCACCTGGTCTACTGCCGTAAGACACTAGTGAGGAGGCAACGGTGGCCTATCCTCCACCCTTATAGTCGAAGGGAGCCTCTAGGACCTATAGGCTCTCTAGAGCGCTACTTTAAGGGGCTAATCACCGATTATGAAGGCTTCCAGGCCTTCCTTGACGTGACAGACTTCTTCCAGAAGATCTGCCCGCGTTACTAATAGATAGGACTTAACCTATCCTCTCAACAACAGACTACCTATAGTTATCAGGACAGCAGATTGCTATAACGGAACTAGGGCACCAGTGGGAACTAGGGACGGATAGAACACATAGTGGCCCTCGGGCAAGATCTGGAGGACGCTAGGAAGAGGCGTGTACTACACAGTAGATAGCTAGATCCTGCGGCCCTCCACGCCACATACCCTTCGGGAGGTCTGCCGCAAGGGCGGCTGCGCCCTTGCCGCCATGGCGTTAAAAAAAAAAAAAAATTAAAAAAAAAAATCGCACCCATCATGGCCCCTAAGGTTTTTGTCGTCCTGGCCAGCGCTGGACATATGAGTAAAACGCCTAAGTTGCAATGGAGCGTCGATCAGATCAAGCCTACGGGCTGGTATCCCGTACGTATACTCCATTCCATGAATTGCAAGATCCGTTGACACTGACAGATGTGGTGTGCAGCCCGAGTTCGCCCGCCCCTACTACGCCTTAACGGGCAAAGACGCCAACGGCAACAAGCTTAACCCCCCGCGGGCTGAGATCATCGTTGCTTCTCCCAAGGGCGGAGAAGCCCCCATTGACCAGAAGTCGGTTGAAAACTTCAAGGACGAGGACTCCGTGAGGTTTTACGAGACCGAGAAAGCGTTGTGGCAGCAGACTCAACCCCTGAGCGATACCGCGCTTTGGAGTTCGACGCCGTCTTCTTCCCTGGCGGTCACGGCCCAATGTTCGATCTCGTCGATGATGAGAATTCCTTGAAGGTCATTTCTGAGTTTTATCAGGCAGGCAAGATTGTCGCTGCCGTGTGCCACGGCCCCATTGTTCTCGTCAACGTCCAAATTGATGGAAAGCCCCTCATTGAAGGTCGTCGGGTGACCGGCTTCAGTAACGAGGAAGAGGACATCATTGGGCTGACTGAAGTCATGCCTGAGCTGCTGGAAGACGCTGTTAAGCGTGCTGGTGGCATCTACATCAAGGCAGACAAACCATGGGCGGAGCAGGTCGTGGTCGATGGCCGGCTGATTACCGGCCAGAACCCGGCCTCGGCGGCTGCAGTTGGTAGGGCTCTCGCCGAGTCTCTGGGTGCGTTACCTACACTTGCATCGATCAAAATCGGTAACACAAACTGACAGCTTCTCGCAGGTATCTAAGTTCACCCGCAACGGAGCGACGCAGCAATTTATGACATATTGAGGACTGGGAGAACAGGGAGTGTTTGGCGGAATGTGAAGAGAACGCAATGGAAGGACTAAATTTGGCACAAAACGTTCACCACATCATCAATGGCGAAGGCCTTTATCATATATGCAGAGCTCTTCGCACATTTGTCGACTAGTTGCGTGCACGATTGTGTCACAGACACTTGGCCAATCTCCAAACCCCATCCCAGACCCAAGAATATCTGACTGTGTGAAAGAAATTGCCCCTTGAGAGTGAGATTAGTGTTTCGCCGGTAAGATTCTTGGTGGTCGATTCTGGCATGCATGCTTGATGAGAAACTCTGTTCACGTAAGAAAACAACAAGCTAGATTACCACATCTGCCAGTTCGTACGTCTGATGATAAATTAGGGAAACACTCATTCAAGTCTCCAAGAATTGAGTGGCCATGCTGAATTACTCATCCGCTAAGGAGCCGGTTCTGGGTTTGGTTTCTGAGTATTTGGTAGTTGGAGCGGACGCCTCTGGCAGGTCCCATTCAGTGCTGCGGACTACTCTTCGGTCAAGGACTTTCTTCCATTTCGCCCAGAAAATCAACGAAAACTTCGTCACCAAGTCCTGCCCTTTGCTTAAAGACTTCGAAGTGTTGCTGTGCCCACGATTGCTCCTCTCCCGCTTTGGGCACTGGCAGCCCGACCTTAAAGCCCGCCATCAGCTCGCCCGTGACGAAAATAGCAGCCAACTCCAGCTCATTCGGAGGGAGCCCATTGACGATGTAACTTGGATGCACGATTCGACGCCACGCGGAATTGATATCCTGACATAGTTGCTCCCAGGCTTCCCTGGTGCGGTGGGCACCATTCCGCACACATGCCATGATTCGATTCGAGAGTCGCTTAAGAACGACATCAGTTGTCAATATCCTATGTGACATGCACTCCTTTTCTACTCACAGGTCGTCCACCCACAAACCAAGTGTGCTGAGATGCGTCCGTGAACAACACATTCACAAACCATCGTGGCGTTTGAAAGGCTTCAGCGTGGATATCAGTGATGGCCTTTGCCAGTTCAGCTTTCTGGGCAGCTGTGAGAGGCGCAGCAAAGCTGACTTCGTATAGGGGCATCCTGAGAACCGTCTTCTTTCGAGGTGATGATTTGATGGAGGGGGGGGATTTCTAGCAACAGGTCGCAGCCATGGCCTTTTTAACAGCTATACGCAGTTGTAAAGGCATGCATGAGTGGCCAAACAAGACCGGATAAGGAGCAAGCAAGACAATGTTGAAGCCATTGGCGGCATCCTGGTCGAGCCTAGCAATGCCTGCCACGGTGTCACCTAAGCCGTATTACACCCTATAGAGGTCCGACCGCTTCTTGCATCATTCGTGAATCATCTGCTGAGAACTAGGGGACAAATACTCGGCTCCGACATGTGACTATTGTGGGACTGTGAAAAGCTGACTCGGAATGGAAGCCTTTCCTTCTATCATTCAACCTCGAAAGCACGAGACTCGGCTTATGTGAAGCCATAACTTTCCGGTGCTTTCCTAGAAAGAATTTGATTTTTCAGAAATGACAGTTCAAATGGACCAGGGATGCCGCATATGCGCATAGTGTCTCCAAAACGGACGTCTTCTTCTGTTACCAATCCTTCTTCACATCTAACCATCATCCGGTATGTACATAATCGCATACATCCACACATCGTAGTGAGTTAGTTCACCATGTTTTTGCGAGTGCACGTCTAAGAGCGCTAAGCAATAGGATTCGATGCGGGCCAGCCCGCCTACCTCCCCCACTGCGGAGGATCCAAGTGCCTGGGCACGGAATGGGCCGCCTCGGAGACGGAATACCCGCGCCGTGCTAGTTAGCAGACGAATCACATAAGCAACATCCAGCCGAACAGAAGGAAACCTCCGTGTTTTGTCAGAGCAACATCCGTCTTCATTGCTCGCATTCCACAGATCGTCACAGTCAAACGACCAGACCACCATGCCAACCGAAGCAACGAAGAGGACGATGAACTTGCCGCCTACCTTAGAATCCCCGATACCGCACAAGGTCAGGTCAGGGATTGGTGCAGCCTGCGTGCGGTGCCAAAAACGGAAAATCCGTGTAAGCCTTCCCTTCCGTTTCGGCTACCCGCCGGTTCCCCCCGTGCCAACTGCTGTGAACGATGTGTTGACCGCGAATAACTAGTGTGATGCTCTTTTGCCGGCTTGCGGCGCTTGCCACCGCGCGGGTACCCAATGCGTCGGGGGAGGTTCATCACGGGAGATCCCTCGGAGGTAAGGCGTCGCCCAGATGAGGGTGCCTTGCCATACCGAGCTCGCGAGCTGACCCGCGTCGGTTATGTGAACGATCTAGAAGCCCGGGTTCGATGGCTAGAGTCCGTCATTCAAGAGCGTTTACCTAGTTTCGACCTAAGTGCTGGACCAGGGCAATTGAACAAATCAGCAGGCGTGTCGAACGAAGTCGAAACTCTTGAGCTGCCAGCCCAAATGCGCAATAACCAAAATAGAGAATCTCTGGACACAATCTCTGAGCAAATCGGACTCATATCCGTCACTAACGGCGCAGATCTTCGATACCTTGGCCCATCCAGCGGCTTGTTTTTCACCAAGTTCGTCCTGGCTGGCCTGGGGAAACAGATCCTATCTGTGCCTGATCGAACCTCCGCCCCTGAATTTGCTCACAACAGCATTCTTGTCCCTTCAGATCTTCTCGCGCCTCATCAGAAAGATCTGCCTGCCGATGAGAGGCAGGCAAGATGGCTCTCGCAGGCATATTTCGAACACGTCCATCTACAGTTTCCGTTCCTCCACGAGTCCACTCATTGGGAAACTGTGAGTCGGGCATATGGCGCCGCCGAGATCTTTTTAGTAGACAAATTCCAGGTCTTCATGGTTCTCGCCATAGGCGCAGCACACCTCTCCCGGCGAACCAAGGTGGCGCTGTCTGCCGAAGGGTACTACTCCTCCGCCATGAAACTTGTCGATGAGATCTTCAAGACATCTTCTATTGCATCTGTTCAATGCATCTTGCTCCTCGAGATATATGCATTCAACAGCCCGTCGTCCGGATTGAGTCTTTGGTCGCTCCACCACCATGGACTCGCATTAGCAATAGAACTGGGGCTACATCGCAATGTACCGGAGAGTACATTTTCTACATTCGAGAGAGAGTTGCGGACTCGGGTCTTCTGGTGTACTTATACAATTGACAGACTCTTGAGCACCCTGATGGGGAGACCAATGGGTGTGGTGGATGAGCAATGCGAGCTCAGAGCAAGTACCCTACTTCTTTCAATATTCCAACGGCAATGTACCTGAGCTGACCATGTCCGCAGCTGCCCTTGGACGTAGGCGACGAACAACTGAAGTCGGATCAGCTCAAGCAACGCCAAGAGTCGGAGCCACCCACCAACGTTACCAGTGCCATGCATCTTTTCAGGCTCGCGAGGTTCAACTCCGAGATCAAGTGCGTCCTTTACTGTGTCGATCGGCAGTACCCGCCGTACACACAACCCATGGTTGTTGATGCAGAGAGTTGGAGAGTCGACATCCTGAGTCGGCTGCGCCAGTGGAAGCATAATATACCGAGACATCCTGAAGGAAGCCCAGGGCATTACAATAGTACCCTATGTGAGATCAAGTATCATGAGCTTACGATGCTGATACTTCGACCAAGTCCGAGGATACAGAACCCGGACAAGGCGTCACTGCGCGGATGCTTCCAGAGTGCTCTGACATGCACAGAGCTCTACCATTCACTCTATGTCGCGAACTCTCTCCAATATGGATGGCTCAGCATTCATTCTCTCTTCTTGTTTGTCATGGCCATGTTTTACTGCGTCTGGAAGCCTTCGGAGATTGTCAAGGAAGAGGATTTCGACTCTGTAATCCCCTCGCTGAAAGTCGCCTCGGATATCTTGAGCGCCATCGGAGAACTTTGGCCAGAGGCGAAGAGAAATCGCGACATTTTGGACCGTATATCAACGGCAACCATACGAAGGTTTACTCAGCATCTGAACAAGAGAGGGCCTTTGCCGACTCCACAGGAATCGCGGACATCCGTAGAGGTCGCCTCGAACTTGAGTTCAGAGCCAGTAATGGACTGGAGTGACATGGGTCAGTCGTGGAACGGCAGGTCGCCGGTGCAATTCAGAGATGAAGGAATGATAAACACACCTTCGCGATGAATTACGGTGCAAACGATAAACCTTTCATGTCGGCTGACATTATGTCTTACTTTCTGGGGTCTTCGGCGGATGCGACAATGGGCCCGAACGACTTTGTTCATGCTATGGATGATGCGCCGAACTACTTCGTTGGTGATGGGCTGAATTCCGATCACATTATCGAAGATGCGCGTCAACTGTAGTTTCGAATAGTTGACATATTACACTCATATTCTTAAAACAAAGTCCTGGGTTTTCATATTAAAGATATCCTGACGTCTCGCGCTGTCAGATTCTCTGCGCTGTCTTTCTCTTTGCTTTGGTCCCCGGGCGAATAGACCTTGCTCTGCGCGCGCTCCACTTGCCCCGTTAAGCCCTTCACCATGACTTTATCAGTGACGGGATATCCGAAGGTAATGGCTAGACAAGGCCTGGAATCCGCGGCATCCATGGACAGGTTCCCAAGTTGGGAGTTGTGAGTTACTGTGGGGATCTTTGATTAGTGATCATCTCGTCAAATACGCCTTACACTCCTTTGGATGACCACTTTCCATACAATTTTGTTATCGGTGGTAGTTAGCTGCCCCGCTGAGGATTTTCATGTCTTGACTGTAGTGGATCTTTCTCAGCGATTAATGTCTAGGTGGTCGACCTTTTGGTAACACCTAGTAGAAATACCACCACTACTGACAGGATCCGGTGGACAAAGAGACGTAAGAAACCCAGCGGGTTGAATCATTTTGATCACAATGCCCTTATGAAGACTCATTATCTCCCTTCACCCAACCTACCTCGTATTATTAACTCACTCGACAGTTAGTTCTAGAGTTAAACTTGTTTACATCCGGGATCGATATTCAATGGCGGCCACAACTGGCTTCCCAGACCAGGCAGACGCCATAGAGAAGAAGGAGCATTATCTGCAACAAGATGCTTCGCAAGACGTCACTGACAGGAGGTCGGGCCATGATACGACGAGCTCCGTTACCGACGCGAGGTTAGACCATGGGAATGACGCCCGAGGAAATTTCCGAAATGAGGCGTCAAATAATTTGCATGATGGCAGGACCAACACCATAGCGAAACGCGTGCCCAGCGTAGCTGCTTCGACCTCCCTTTCCGACCCGGGACCTCCTCCTGATGGAGGTCTTTGGGCTTGGCTGAGTGGTAAGTGGCGATGACATTGGTTCGTTGCGCATGAATTAATAATCAACTCTGGCAGTCTTGGGGACGTTTCTGGTCATGATGAACACGTGGTACGTTGCCTCCCCTAGCTCCCCCGCCAGAGTTTCCTCAGCAAGAAATGCCTGAAAATGTTGACTAGGGGTGTGATCAATTCTTTCGGCGTCTTTCAAAGCTACTACGTCACAGCTCTTGACCGCCCACCATCCGACATTTCCTAGATCGGATCCATCAACGTCTTCCTGCTCTTCTTCATCGGCACCTTCACTGGTCGTCTGACTGACGCAGGGTTCTTCCGCCCATTAGCCATCTCCGGGGCTATCTTGACGATAACCGGAACATTAGCAACGTCGGCATGCACGAAGTATTGGCAGATATTCCTGGCGCAAGGTATCTGCGCTGGTATTGGTAGTGGCTGTCTCTTCTGCCCGGCCGTTGCCATCGTGTCAACGTATTTCAACAAGCGTCGGTCGCTGGCGATTGGCGCCACCGCTTGTGGCAGCGGAGTCGGGGGCATATTGTACCCGGTGCTAGTACGCTAACTATTACCGAGAGTGGGCTTCGGGTGGACAATGAGGACAATCGAATTTGTCCAAGGTGGTGGATTGGCGATTGCGGTCGCTATCTTACGACCAAGGGTTCTTCCCCGTAAGACGGGGCAGTTTGTCGAATGGTCGGCGTTCCGCGAGCTCGAGTACACATCCTATGCATGTGGCTCTGTCCTGGTAAGTTACCCCCTACATGGACAATGGCCACTATCGGTTTCGATGCTGATGCTTGATACAGTGCCTGATGGGAGCCTACTTCGCTTTCTTCTTCGTCGCCGCCTATGCCCGAGACATCCAGGGCATATCGTATACCAACTCACTAACCCTCGTCATGATGATGAATGGCGTTGGAATGGTGGGCCGACTCCTGCTCACACATCTTGCTGATAGGTTCGGGAACCTTACCGTCTTCGTGCCTACTGATGGACCAGATGCTTTGCTTCTGTTTTCCTGGATCGCGGTCTCCTCTCCAGCGGGCGTATATGTTTGGGCGTCCTTTTCTGGTATGGCCACCGGTGGTTTTCAGTCGCTGTTGCCATCCGCTTTGGCATCTCTTACATCTGATCCGCAGAAGCAGGGTACTAGCATCGGGATGGTGTTCACGATTGTGAGCTTTGCGGGTTTGGTCGGGCCCCCGATCGGAGGAGCTCTCATTTCCGCTGTCGGCGGTTCTTACGTTGGTGCTCAGGCTTTTGCAGGAACAAGTCTATCGTTGGAGATGGCATTCATGATGACCGCTAGGGAAGTCAAAAGGAGGAAGAAGGGGCAAGATATGTGGATGAAGGTATGATGGGACGTTGATGCTATACGCCGTTGCCAGCGTGTTCTTCATGTGCAGCCTGTGCTGTACCCATTCTGTTGCAATGGCCCTTGCCGCCAGTATCTCAGTTGAGAAAAGCGAAGAAGTATTCATTTCGACCACGTTTGCTTAAAAGGCAGCAAAACTATTGCTGGACACGAGTGTTTTTGGGGCGCCAAAAGCTAGACATCGTCACCCACCCTCGTCAGAGGCAAAAAACATACAACACCGGGCATTCGCCGGTCGTCACCGACCCGACTACTACTCCAGCCCTCACTGGTTTATCGATGGGAGAGCGGACGGGATCCCGAGTTTTCCAATGGGTATGGTCGTATGTGGTGGGCAATGGTTGCGAAGCTGCTCATACGGGGTCATTCATGGGGTGAACAGTGATCATGGGCAGAGTGAAATTCAGTATCTTCACTGTTGTTGTCTCACAAGATAGGCTTTGTTTACTTGAATATATCTTACTTCTACAACATCCATCTGATCTCGTCATCAGTAATCTTTCCATGTCTACCCTTGCCGCCCTGTCTTAACCTCGCCACGTCAGGCGCTTAGGGATGGACCCAAGCCTAGTGATTCGACATGTCAACCCTCGCGTTATTCTTCCTCTATACCGAGCAGCTTGCATGACTCCTTCCAAAGCAATGCAGCTTTTGCCTCGTCGTAAGCCCAAGGCGCATACCCCGTGTCGGTCGACATCATGTTGTATCCGGCAGATGTGGGGTGAGCCTCGACACAGTCGCTCAGATATTTGCCACCTCTTCCCTCCCACTCCTTGCTGACTGCGGCGTAGACAGTGGTGGAAGCCCCTTGGGCCGGGCTCTTGAGGATTCTCATCATCTTGTTGAACAGCTCTTCGCCCATTGCCGCCTTCGCAGCTTCCACGTCGACTGGCTGCGCCGCAGACATGTTCGTCATAATAGATCCGGGATGCAAAGACAGCGAGTGGAGACCTCGGGAGCTGTAGCGCCTCTCAATCTCGTTTGAAAAGTAAATGTTGGCCGTTTTGGAGTGTCCATAGGCCACTGACTGCTCGAAGGAGCCTTCTTCCTCAAAGTTGAAATCGTGGAATCGGATTTCGCTCGCGCGGTGAGCCATCGAGGAGACGGCCACGACGCGTGAGTGGAACTCCGGAGTGACAGATGCCAGCAGCGCGGGCCGCAGCAGTTGGAAGAGAAGGAAATGCCCAACGTGATTCGTCCCAAAGTGGGACTCAAACCCGTCAACAGTCTTCGTCTTTTCGTGCTGTATGACATCGGCGTTATTGATGAGGATGTTGAGTTTGCCCTCGCTCTTGCCCAGGAAACTCTCGGCACCCTCCCGCACGGAGTCAAGTGAGTCCAGTGACAGCACGACAGCCTGGAGTGATCCTCTCCCAGGAAGATTCGGGGTTTTCCTAATGTCGGCGATGGCCTTGTCGCCCTTCTCGTTGCTCCGAACGCCTAGGAAAACATCGGCGCCGGGCGCGTAGAGGGCGCGAGCAGTGTCCAATCCGATGCCTTGGTTTGCGCCGGTAATGAAAATTGTCTTACCTACCAGCTTTCCGATGAGATTTTCGTCTTCGATGATTTGGAGAGCCGTGGGGCGTGCGTCGCCTGGACCCTGGGGGTTCTGATGGGCTGCGGCGTAATGAGACATGGCGTTAAAGCTTTCTGTAAAGCTTCGCTGCGCGGAAGTCGTTGGGTTGCTGTTTCGGACTCAGAGTACGTAAGGAGGCAGCGAGACTAAATGTGGATAAGATGAATGGCATTCGACTTGCAGCTCGGGAGATGTCACGAAATTTAAGCCATCGAGCCGACGTACGAATTATCCCACGATTCCCACCACATGATGTACAGTCGCTGCTCTCACTTTTCAGTGAATTCCGCCATAATCTGCCGTCCGTGCATGAAGTCCGCTTGATGAAGTGCTGGCGCCAATGACCTGGAGTACTAGCGGCCAAGGAGGCTTTTGCTCACCGCAGGGTTTGCGCTGACACTCCAGGTTGTAACCGGGATCTGGGCGGACATTCATCTGGCGGACTTTCAGCCCAAGAAAGGCTATTTCATATTTGGAATGAGTCGTTGGGGGTGGGAAGGAAACCGTGGCCGACGACACAAGCAATCATTCGAGCTGGTCATGTGGACTCCCTCGCCCATGCCTGATTAGGCCGCGAGGTCTTGGTCCTGCAAGCCGTCCAAATCGTTTCACATTGACCGTAGGGTAAGACGCCAATGTTAATGATGTATCAAGAACGGCGAGCAGCATTGTATGGCTCGCCAGAAGATCTACTACAAGTATTGTGCTACTGTTCGGTGAGTCTACGCAGCTGTCAAGCGGGAAGCTTCTTTGACGAGAGATTACCAGATTGAGCCTCTGGAACTGGTTCCAAATGTCGCAACTTGGTCCGCCAGGTTTGTTTTGGTCATAACACACATGACTGTTGTTCAAGTCTCAGTGGCCGTGTTGTCGGGTCGGGTTTTCCTCATTCGGCCCTGCGGCTGGTAAATGCGTGACCCACTTTCGGGTCCCCGCTCCGCACAGCAGCCGGTGTCACTCGGACTCACTCCACACGACGACTTTCGTCCAGGGGTGGGATCCCTGCGCCATCCAACCTTGAGCAGCTAGGAGTACACATGCAAAGCCAATCTGATGCGGATGTGCCACACATCAGCTATTCCGGTAACATTACAGACAGACGGCAGCAGAGGCGAAGGTGTTTCCCGCAAGCGGACGGCAGATATGGGTCCTCCGTTCTACACCCATCACTTACTACAGTACACAAAATGTGCGGACTTCCATCTCTTCGAGCCACTTCTCTGATTTGTTTTCTTATCTGACCTAACACAAACCCTGATTCCTGGTGCCATCTACTATGTTTACGCACTTTGCCTAACTCTGGACTCCTAAATTCTCAGGTTATTTGAATATTAAAATTCGCCGTCTCTGTCTCATTCCTGGTGAGCTAGAAAACCTTCGGCAACCTAGCTCCGCCATCAAGCCGGATCACTTCACCGTTCAACATGGTACTCCCTATCACCTCTTTCACAAGCCTAGCGAATCCTTCCGGCATTCCTGGTCGCCAAGGAAACTCCATAGCCCCGGTCAGCATCTCGCGGTCCTGTGGTCGCATGGGCGCCGTCATCCCTGTCTCGAACAAGCCTGGCGCAATCGTAACTACACGAATGCCGTGTTGCCAAGATCTCGTGCCATGGGCAGCGTCATTGATACAACTGCCCCTTTACTACCCGAATAGACTACCAGGCCAGATTGTCCTTCGAAAGCTGCGGAGCTGGCCACCATGATCACAACGCCCCGCTCTCCGTCCGGTCTTTCTCGGGACATGGCGGCTAGGTGAGGCAGGAGTTGGCGGATGGGATCAAGGGTGCCACGCAAATTGACGTTCAGGACGGTCTCCATGGCGCTCTGCATCCAGTAGCTAGAATCGCAGTAGCCTCCTCACTAGGGAGAGAACTTCGCGCCTTGTAAGTAATAGCGTGAGGTGGAAATCCACACCATGCACGGAGAACCAGTTCCAGCAGCAGTGAAAGATACCGCTGATGGGTTTGCCGGCCCCTTGCGCCCAGTCAAGAGTGTCCTTGATAGCATCTGCGACACTCTGCGTAATGGTGATATCGCAATGCAGAAACTTCATCGAAGGTCCAAGTTCCGTAGTCGCGGCGGTCCCGAGATTGCTGTTGGTGTCGATGACCGCAGCATTGCCCCCTTGACGGATGATCATATCCACGCAACCGCGACCAAGGCCGGAGGCCCTGGGTCGTCAACTTAGCAGTGATAACGCAGGCAAGAGCAGTGGCTGACTTACCCGCCTGTGACAATGAAAGTACGTCCCTGGATCTTCATTATTGCTTGTTGAGATTGGCGGAGAGATGAAGGTGGTAGACGGCCTTACATGTGCGGACTAATTCAAGATAATATAAGAAGACAGTCGGGACGGCTCGCATCCCGCAAGTCCGGCGGTCAACACCCCGCCACCTAACAGTGTCATTGCTCAACAGCAGCATACCTACGGAATGGACCGATCAAAGAACCCGGTCCAATGTTGTATCTAGTGGGCCGAAGGTCCGCTCCGCAAGCTGGGTTGTTATGCCCGGACTGAGACCCCGCTTCTCCGCAAAGAAGAGTAAGCTGCGTGCCAAGGATTCGATGCTATAAGTAATGCACATAGGCATTGTCAGCGATTGAGATTTTCCTGGTGCCGCACTCATCAGGAATGCAAAAAGACTCCTACGCCATGGAAACCCATAGATCTAATCAGGTTTCAGACAGCAGGACGGCCTTTCCAAGTTATGACAGACTCAGGTCCTTTGATCATGATTCCTCTGGATTTGGCCGATGAAATACGTAACGATCCTCGGTTGACGTTCGCTGGGTTCTTGGAGCGTGTGGGTTGAAACAAGCAGTCTGCTTTTTCTTCCCGCTCTTGCACTGACTCTTCGTTCTTCTCCATTAGCAACAACTGACGATTTATCCTGGGCTCGACGCCCTACATCTCAGCACTAAGGAAGAGATCATTCAGGAAACGATTCGAAAGCACCTTACCCAGGCGCTCGGAGGCTTGACGCAGCGACTCTCTGATGAGGCGGCGGCAGTCTTGGACGAAAGCTTACCAACAGGAAACGGTAAGAGCACACCAGATGCAATGATTGCTGTTAGTCGGTTGACTAGTCGTCTAATAACGAGCACATGTGGTCGGAGAATGGCAGCATATCCAATTCTACATGACGGCAGCTCAAGCTGCGGCTAGACTGTCAGCCCTCACCTTCCTTGGCGAAGAGCTCTGTCATAACCCCGAATGGATAGACATCTCAACCTCATTCACGGGAGTAACATTGCATTCAGGAAATAGCCTCAGAGCTTGGCCGGCAATCTTGCGGCCGTTCGTTCATCACTTCCTTCCGGAACTCTGGTACATCAAGGGTATCACCAAAAAGGCCCGGGCTATTATTCTTCCCGAACTGGAGAGGAGGAAAGCGGCCCGTCCAACATCCACGAAACCTCAAGATTCGCTCTCCTGGCCAGACGACGTACGTGGAGATTGCAATCTCGACATTGTGAAGGGCCAGCTTTTCCTTACTTTCACTGCTATCCACACCACGTCTTCCGACCTAACGGCACTGCTATATGATCTCATTAATAACCCCAAGTACTTCGGCCTTCTTAGGGAGGAGATCACTCAAGTCTTGCAAGAAGATGGTGGCTGGAAGAAAACAAGCCTGTATAAGATGAAGCTTATGGACAGTTGCATGAAGGAAAGCGAGCGCTTGAACATCCTGGGACATCGTAAGTGGCATGCAGTCTTTCCTCTTCCAGATAAGACACGGTCGCTCACATCTCGGACAACCAGATATGATGAACCGCCGCGTCGAGGCGCCAATGACCCTATCGGATGGCACATACCTGCCTAAAGGTGTTCATCTTGGTGTCCCTGTCTCTCACGTGCGCGATTCAGAGTTTCTAGGCGAGAACCCGGATCAATTTGACGGCCACAGGTTCCTACGCATGCGGCAACAGCCAGGCCAGGAAAACAAGTGGCAATTCGTGACCACGAGCCCTCACTTCCTTAGCTTTGGGCACGGGAAGCATGCTTGCCCTGGGCGGTTCTTCACTAGTAACGAGATCAAGATCATTCTCTGTCATCTGATTATGAAATACGACTGGTCCTACGAGAACGAGCCACCAAGAAGTGCTCACGAGCACCGATTCGTGCCTGACCCACAGACAGTCATTTTGTACAAAAAGAGAGTGCTGGAAGTTCAGCTATAAATGCTTGCAAGATCTTTGCGCGGGCCAGTCTGAAAGGTCGCGTTCTGGCCGAACAGCTACTAATTGTGAGAGCGAGGGTATCCGCGGTTTGTTGCATTTCTCTTTCTTTGTTTTCATTCCAAGTGTGAGAGGCTACGAAGGCCCCGACTTTGACAGATGCATAGAAGCGAGCTTTGGTAGTATTTTGAGACAGTAAAGAGCACATGTAAACTATGGTAACGCTATGGACGTCCTTTGAATAGTGGACTGCTACCTCAACTTGAGGTCGATTTTGAGCCACCAAGTACTGGGCGAGAGGCTGCCATCCTTCTTTTTCCAACTCAACCCATTAAAGGACACAGATAATCCCAGATGCCATTCATAGCATTTGTCTTTAGATCGTAACGCTTTCCTTAGCGAGAGGCAACACCTTCTTACCACACGTGTAGAACTCATACTTGGCGTCCTTTGCATGGTCTTCTAGCACTGGGTTAGACACGCGAATGGCTTTAGCACCCCTTGTGATCATATCGTCGCGATACTCCGCGATGAATTTGACCACATCCTCACTCTTTCCTCCAGCGTCCCGGATGCTGGTAATGGCGCGACCCAGTCTTAAGCCATCTGTGATTGCGCATACGCCAGCCTCTCCTCGGACTGTGGAATATGCTGTTAGCTGTGAAATCTTTATATGTCACTGAAGAGGTCAAACTCACATGGTGTCATCGAATGCGCGGCGTCTCCAGCTAGAGTGATCCTCCCGGCGGGGAGCTGATCAGCAGTCAACCCCACGCTCTGCAGCACAATACCGGGCTGCCTGTATCTCTCGACCGGTACCTTGTCGACAAGTACGCGCAAATTGTCGGGATATTGCTTGGTGCATTTCCTCGCAAACGCCATGAGCTCCTCCCGAGACGCCGTAACAGTCCAGAACGGCTTCTCCTCGGTGCTCTTCGCTGCTTCCTTGTCGATCCAGTGGAGAATGAAGTAGAAATATCCGGTCTTCTTGTCCGGGCTAATTTTGTTCAAGGCGGCGAACAGGCTGACCTGGCTCGGGCCCTCATTCTGCGGCGTCGAGTCCAACACAATGTAAGCCGAGTGGCCCAGCTCGATCTGGTGCTTGAGCTCGTCGCCAGTTAACTCGATCTCGCCAACCAGGGATCCGACGGGCAGCGGCTTCATGATCTCTTGTCCGCCCAAAATGTGTCTGCGCACCAAGCTCCGGCTTCCCTCTGCCCCGACGAGGATGTCGCCGGTCTCGGAGCTGCCATCCTCGAAGTGCGCCACAACTTTGTCGTCGCGTTCTTCCACGCGCACCAAGCGCTTGTTGAACTGGACAGTCAGATGCTGGAGGAGCCAGTCCCGCAGACGCTGGCGATTCGCGCGGACAATCTTGCCGGACTCATCATCTGTGACGCCAACTCTCCAGTCGGGCTTGCTGACATCGTAGAAGACGAATTGCGCTGGAATGTGATCCAGAGGGCTCAGGTGGTTGGTCTGCTCGATAGGTCCGAGATCCGCGGGCATCGAAGCTGAGACTTCGGCCAGCATGGGACCATGGAGTGCGATGGCCCAACCTTGCGCTCTGGCGTCAGCTCTGCTGTCACGCTCAAAGATCGAGAAAGAGATGTTGTTCTTGCGCAGTATCTGAGCAAGTGTCAGGCCGCTGAGTCCGGCGCCGACAATGAGGACATGGGGGTTGGGATTGGACATCGTGTTGTATGTTTGGTAACTGAAGAAGATGAAAGGATACTCGATGAGGAATTCTTCATGATCTTGGGTGCTTTTGTTCAAACATTTATATGTGAATGATATTGATACATTTATGTTGAACCGCTGCCATTCGCAATCGCTTTCATCCTGTCCGTTCCGTCAGTTACAACCTTACAGGGGTACGGCATATTATTTCCGGTCGGATTCCAGCTTCATACATGAGGCACGACCTCACTGGTGGCCGTTGTCCCGTGACCCCACATTGGTGATGCAGATCAGAGCCACTTGTGTTCCCGAATGATACGTTTCCACTTTCGGACGCACTGACACTTTTCATGGGTTGAAATCATTAAGGTCTCTTGATCCCCCCCCAGAAGTTGTGCCCAAGTTTCAATGGCTTCTTCGGCGTTGACTTTTTCTGGTTTTCAATTATTCTCTGGAAAGCATCAACTGTCCAACCGGCTACACAACAGCGGTGCCCCAACCGGGAAGGAACAATAATTCTTCAAAACTCTGCAAACTTTTATCCTTGCGGTTTGTCCCAAAAAGAAAATAGGGTGGACCTTGTCTCAAGAATTGCTGGGAGGGTCAGTGGTTTACTGATGTTTATTGCAGATTGAGTGAAAGCAGATGTATTCTTAGATCAACGCATGATAGGGCCTGCAAACAAAAATGCCGATGCGCAAAAACTCGAACATTCTGCTGCAGAGTCTTCAGTCACCGCTTTCCAGCACATGATGAAGAAGAACCTAGAAGGCCGTGACTAGCTCAATGACACCAAACGATTCGGTATGTCCATAGAAAGAACCGGTAGCCTCAACAAACCCTTCGTAAGCCGAGTCAATCAATGCCTTCTCGCCATACATTTCCTGGTCCGGACGCACAGAGTTAACAACTAAGTGGTCGCCGTTCTCAAAGGTGAGCGTCCAGCTGAGCGGGTATACAAGATTGGAGTTCGGGGAGGTCCACGTGTTGGAGTAGTCGGGCGAAAGCTCATAAGCAAGCACGTGGTACCCATTGCCCACCCTGATGGTTGCGAATCGAGTGCTCTCATCATCGATAAGGTCCCATGCCCAGATGCTTGCTTTGATGTCCGATCCTGGGAAGTGAAGTTCAAACCAGGTCCAATTCTTCGGGGCTCCGTGGGAGAGCTGTCTATCGTACCAGGTGAACGAGTTGCTGGTGTCGACGGAGATGGTCTTGTTATTCAGCGTGATCGTACCCGCGGTTCTTCCGTTGGGGATGCCCCATTCTGTGGCGTTAATCGGCACGCTGCCAAAGGGGATGATGCCACCCCCTCCATTGAGCATAACACGAGAGGTCAAGTTCCATTCCAAGTCAATCGAGAAAGACTTCTCAGGGTGCGCGTAGGTGTACATCGTCGA